GGTCCAAATTTTTTTGGCCTTTTTTGCGCGTGATTTTCCTGTTGTCTTGAAGGTGTTTGATGTTCAGCGGCTGATAGGCTTCATTCTATTTTTTGGATGTCAAAAGCTCGCCTACCAGCTGTTTGATAAAATGACTCTGTTACTACGGCCCTTATAAAATTGTTCAAGTTCAAACTTTCCCAAATGATCACAAGGCAAGATAGCATCTGGGTTTATATGCAATGCAATTCAATAACAGTTTTGCTTGGTTCAAAGTGTTGATAGGCTCCATTCAACTTTGTTTCTTTTAGTTCAATAAAACCAACATACATATTCTCCGCTATCTAGTTTTCATCTTCCTTATTCATCGTCTTGATTAATGAGAGTATGTATGGCCTTGGCAATGGTATGTCACCATGTTAAGATGCCAGTTTTTTAAACAGGAAAGGAGGAGGAAAACAAATGCAGCAGCAGCAATCTAGGAAGTCTATGAAACTTTTCGTACATTGCGAAGAATCAACTATCGTTTGTTTCCCTAGTTGCAGAAGATTATAGATCAGTTCAGTAGCTGATATTGCAACTGGTTTTGACATTAAAATCATTAACTTGTGGAGCTTTTACACATTTTCTGTATGATTTTTTATCATCTACAAGACTACAACCCATGTTTTACATAATATCCTATACTTCGAAACCGTGTTATGATCACGAATATGATGCCTCAAATACTGACACATTACATGGGACTACATCTGTACAATACCTTGAAAAAAATTCTCCAAATCTCAGATCAATGTTAATCAAGAAATCTTAAGATGTTTGGAATGAAAAATTGTGAACCTTTTTACTCATGAATCAATTAAGTGGGGTTATAATTCAATCCACAAAGAAAGGCACAATAATTAAAGAACGTGACCGTGTGTTGGGAGATTGGGCTAGGGATCCGATAACAAAAGGTGGGGAAGCAGCTTCGCTATTAAAAAGATAGCACAGAGTCCCACATTGCAAAAACCTTCTATGCATCAAAGCTTTATATATGGTCGTTTAACAACAAAGCTTGTCTCTTCGGGACATCCGATAAAATTGGAACGATACAGAGAAGATTAGCATGGCCCCTGCGCAAGGATGACACGCATAAATCGAGAAATGGTCCAAATTTTTTTGCACTTCTTGTGTGATTTTTGATTTTTTTTTGCTCCCACCTTTTTTTTTCCCCGGTTTTCAAGGTCTGAGTGAATCTTTTAGACAGAAGCATTATGTTTCAGAATTTTGTACAAATACCATTTGAATTATAGGGGTCATGAGGTTATTAATATACGTCTCTTCCTCCTGCCTTCCTTGGTTGTCTCCCTAAGCGTTCCGTACCCTCCCCGATCGCCCCAACTATCCTCAATCCTCATCTCTGAGCCACACCCCAACCACATCCACCCAAATCCACACCATTTCATGGAATTCAAAAATCAAATCTTGCAGTGTGAAAAACAAAACAAAAAGAACACAGCAGGGGGAGAATCTCATGTTTTCCACCATGTATATAGCCTACATTTGATGATCTAAACACACCCGGGTTAATTTTCATCACATTGTGAACAACTTAAGCACGACCCAATTCAAAATTCTAGAAAAGAAGCCCTACATTGGATGCAAGCGGTCTCTTCGTCACGATCCATGGCGTCCCCTTGAAGACTCTGTTGGGAAAAGGGTGACTTGTCCCCCAACAAGCTGCAATTACACCAAGAACCAGGGCAGTCAAAAATGGGGCATGGAGGGAGAATCAGAAAAGTCAAAGAAGAAGTAAACGGCATGTCGTGTACTGGAAGAACAGCCATTCGAGAAGAGCATAGTGTTCCATGCCGGCAAAGAGGAGAGACTGAGCAGGCACATTGGCTCTCGATCAATTCAGCATCACCAGCTTCCTCTGTATCTCTTCCATTTGTCTCGCTGCCATTTCTAACTCTAACACTAAACCAAACAAAATGTTATTAATACACAATAAACACAATGTTATTATGATAATTGAATGAGACAATGAAGGGTGTTTCTTAAGACTTTTTTTAATTCAATTTCTTTGTATGATTTGAAACTTTGCAAGTCTATAAGAAATGCAGATAAATCTCTTGGAAATTTTACAGTGTGTTTGGACAAGGGAGTTTAATTTTTTATAGAATTTGTAAATGACGGAACTTGGAAACCTTAATAATAAAAGTACAAATATGATTTAAAGGAGATGCTAATGATATTTCTCTTTTCAAAGTTGGAAGAGATCCAAGTATTATTTTCTACTTTTTGAATAATCATATGAATAGCTGGAATAATTATATAGCACAAAGAGAACTACGTGAAGCTGATCAAATAGTAGAACAGTTCCAGGATACAAATCATAAGAAAACTAAGCAATTATTGTCAAATGCAAGAAGATCTAAGTTGAGGAACAGAAACAAACCTTTGATGCCAAATCGTCAACCTTCTGTTGAAGACTTAAGAGTATCTTTGATTGTTCAGAAAGTTTTTTTTCCAATTCAGAAACATCAGGCCTGCAAGTGACCTTTGATTAAACGTACAGAATGTTATTGTATCGAATGAAATTAGTAGTTCAAACATAACTTATGCAATCAACCCGTCTAAGCATTTTATCTAAACTGATTGGGATTCGATTTTATCAGAGGTGGTTTTTTTTCCAAAAGGATAAAAGGTTTGACAATAAACTTTCAATGAAGCAATTATTCTTTTTACTTCAGCAGAGTTGAAACACAAATCGAAAATAGATACTCTTACACTGCATCTATGAGGTCTCTTTTTAGTGGAATAATAAACTTTCAATGAAGCAATTGTTCTTTTACTACAGGGGAGGAACGGAAATTGAACTGGGAAATAGATATTCTTACAATGGATATACGGACTGAATTTATATATCATCAGGGAAAAATTTGCACTCCTCGGAGAATATTTGAGCTTGTCTCTCAGCAATGGAATCAATTAGTTGTATGTCCCTTGCTCCCTGCTCATTGATACTGCAGAAATCACAGTTCATACCAGATCTCAGGCCAACATGGGTGTTTGAAATAAGAAAACAAATCACGTGCATAATATAGAATGAAATTTGAAATGATAGAAGTGCTAGGAGTTCCTTTATTAAAACATAAAAAATTCCCAACACAAATGCAATACTTAGTATCATCCTTAACCTCCATTCTTGATTATCAGCATAAATGCTCACCTCCACAAGATCTACAATTAGACGAGATCTTCATAGCTTCCTCGTCCCTGCAACAAAAAGGTATCACATTCAGTAAGAGTGTTGGAAACTCACAGAATAAAGAGTTGCTAGATTTCACGTCGAGTGCAGAAGAATGCATGTGGTCCAATAAAACATTTTTATTCCTAAATATGTTAATCTTGTCTAGAGTGCCAACTAGATGCATAATGTGCATCTTGCAAACAAATCTTTACGTCATCTTTGATTATATTCTGTCTAGTCTACCTTCTATTGCATAAAAAGTTTTTGATGATCTGCCAGTACAACTTTGTTTCAAATTGACTATTTCCATGGAGGTACATCAAGGGAGAATCATATTTGACTACTCTGATCGTATCTGGGGGACTAATCTAGAATTTTTGGATGTAAAGGAAGCTCCAACAAGTGGATAAGATTAAACTTTATCATATAACCAAAAGGATTCAGATAATACAGCAATTTTAAATAGCTTGGCATCCTTTAAGAAAAGAGTACCAGTTACCAAAATTTACTAGATCAACTCATGATACTATCATATCCTAAAAAATTAGTTGCCCAACAGATACGAAAGGTTAATTGAAAACCAATAAACAATAAATTCAAATGTGATAAGTAAAAATGCACTTAATTTGTACAGCTAAACTAGAGAAAAAACCATTTTTCACCCATATCAGCCAGCATAAATACTCCTAAATCAACACAAAATCCACAACTAACTTGGATAGCTTCTGCGTCTATAATAGTAGTAATACCCAAAAACTTTGCAATCTCTGCCAAATCTGCAAAACAGATGGTCATCATTTGTTATAGTAACAATAAAGAGAAACATGGTCAGATTGTCCCATCAAGTGACTAAAACAGTGCAAAATAGCAAGTTCATCATATATAACCGACATACTAAGAAATTTAGAAATTTGGAAATTTAAACAGTCAACGGATATATCAGCTGGGTTTAGAAGAAGAAAAGGTAAACAAAAAGGTAGCAGAACGGAAGGATGCTCCACAAAAGTATCTCGAAAAGTCCATCAAGGATATAACATTTGGGTGCTTATGGTACCAACATAATATATTAAGTTATTCCAAGTACAAGCAATATCATAACTGCGCTTGCTTTCTTTGAAGTAATACTGAGTTAAGATTGTGCAATAATAGCTGTAGCATGCCTCTATCTTTTTTACATTAGGATATGGATATGCAAGTTTTCTTCGTCAAAATTTAATGTTCCGCATTATCAGTTTGTCATCATAAACTGAAGAAATTCTTTACTATTGGAAGTCTTCACAACAGTTTGTCATCTTAATTATCATCAGGAAAATATCAAGAGTTTGCAAGACTAGTTGAGCTAAAAAATTGCAGCCCGCATTTTCATTTAAAATAATATTATGCAGGATGACTGCTCTTAACTACTTGAGCTAACATACCCTTACCTTATTGAATTTTAATTATTGTAACAATAAGAGAATAGAGAAAGAGGGGCATAATTGAAGAAGCATTTTTGCATTAATTCCATCAGAACTTATCACTTCCTAAAAGTTCCTCTGTAATTTGATGATAATAGAGCATGATATAGAAACTGACAATGAACGAGGTAATATATTATATAACCATCGATTTTTCCATCATTATACGTTTGTAAATATTATTGAGTTGAAATGACCCTCTCAGTTTCTCAAATTATGAACTCATTAGGAATAAATATCAAAACCAGTAAATACCTTAAATTTTGTTTCCTCTCAAAAAGCTATTTATTCAATAAATGTTTTATTACATGCAGCATGAGATGATCCATGCATGGCTACAAAAGTTCGAATACAAGATTAAGTTTTTTTATATAATTATTCTAGCTATTTTTTCCTCGTAAATGATGCTTTATGTACTTGTAAATTATAATAGGTTATAAGAAATTAGATAGAACAGTGTGTGAAGGTATTTGTGAAGTGATGGGACACTTATGGTTGTAATGGTTTGTGATGAACAAGTAGGAGCAGGTGAAGTTTTCGTTTACATCTCGTAGAGGGAACAAAGTAGGACTGCATATAACATTGGCGGTTTGGAGGTTCCCATGTTTGGAATGTGATTTGGCCACATTGGCGGTTTAATGTACTAGCTGAGGATGCAAACCTTGATTTACGTCTATGAATTAAATTTCTCGAATTTTGGCACCCCAAAAAAAAAAAAAGTTAATTATTATATGATTAATTTCTAATATATGTAATATGTTAAGAATTTATCGAGAAAAATGAAAAAAGAGAGACATAACTCTTGTATCATTAGACATATTTCAGAAAAGAGGTTTTGTAGAAATCTTAGTTACATCTAAGCAATCACCTAAAAAAAACCCTGTTTAATTATAACTAGAAGCAAAATAATAGTCCAGACTAGACAAAAAGTACAATTATCTAATAATAATAGGTATGTAAGGGTTGTTTAACTCTCTCACTCAAATGCCCACTTGTTCTCCTCACGAATCTCCTTTTCTTCCTCAGGTGTAAAATCATTCTCGATGTTGAAGATCACACGGATCTCTTCAGGTGTCTTGTCCTTGATCATGTCCGCCACAGTCTGGGAAGTCAAATCCAGTAGGCTCTTGATGTCTAGATAGTTTGCAGCCAAGATTAGGTCAAACAGCTTGCTCAGGTCCATTTTCACGAACTCAGCGTCCCAGCTCTTGAGACTCTCTTTGTTCTTGACATCGGCATCCTCTTCATGGTGCTTCTTGCAGTACTCTATCACCTTCGCTAGGGCGCTGCTGGTCACATTTGACAGAGGTATCGCGTCGTTGGCACAGTCGTCCTCCACCATGTGCTTGATGGTTTGCGACTGCATGGCCACAGCCACCTCCACCTCAAAGGTCTGGTTGTCGTCGCTCTTTAGGGTTATCTTCTTCATCTCGTCGGAGGCCATTGTTTTGGTCTTTGTAATATTAACTAAGTCTTTAAGTTGAAAATTTAGGAGAGTTTTTCTTTTCTGGCTTTGGAAGTTGAAGAGTTGAGTGATTTGAGAGAGACTTGGCATGATTTTATAGCCTACTCATAACACCTTGTCCAAGTAGGAAAAGGAGACAATTTTTTTCCTCCTATTAGGAAACATTCTTATATTAGGAAAAGGAATGGGCTGATGATGGCTCCTTTTTCAAAAAGGAATGGGAAATTTTTAATATTTTGCGATTTATTGTCGTAGATCTTTTTTCATACAGCTTAACCCAACTTTTGATTTTGTTCGATCATATATTGTGAAAATCCTTTTTCCCCCGATAGGCAAAACCCCATGACCAAATTTAGAAGACGTGTTAAGATGCTGGCTAGTTTTCACACATGCATCATGCAGAAACATAAAGCATACAACACCTGACTCTTTGGGGCAGATTTTGCATTTTGTACATTTTCTAAATGGTATGACATATTTTCGTACATTTTCTTACCATTTTACTAACCCTAATGGGTTAGCTGCACAAATGTAAGATACTCAACTCAAATGTAAGATTGATACCGTTTCGATTGCTGGAATTCAAGCAATAGCTGGAGAATAAACAAGAAACTCGACTGAATTACATCCAATTATTGTTTTACTAATTATTTTACCCACCAGCATAATATTGGAAGAAACACAGCACAGCGCAACATTAAAAGTAAAACTCAAACCCTCCATATCCATATTCATCTGGCTCTTACTCAAAATTCATAATATTAGCCTCCTGATTATGTTAGTACATGACTGAACTTCTTATACTAGGTGAACCTTGGTTTCGTTCAGATCTGGTCTAAACTCCAAGCATATTCTTAAATACATGAAAGAAAAATAGGCTCTTGTTATCTCATTTGGTAAACTCTCAATCATTACAACATGAGCCCAGAATTTATCAAACCTGACTTTTTTGTTTTTTTCTTTTCCTTTTCCTGAGGAGTAAAAATTTATGGATCTCGAGTCTCTGCATTTTTCCGAATTTCACAAAATATTGAGCGTTAAAATAATCCAATATATGGTTGTAGATAGGCTACGTCATCTATTATAATTTTTGTGTTTTTTTTCAATAAAATTGACGATACCGTCTTTCCGTTACGTCTTTGTATCTTTGTCTTTGTATCTTTATGTTCAGCCAACACACGTTGTTTGCTTTGCAACTTATCAATATTCCTCCAATTTATAACTTTTAACTTTCATAAAAATACTCAATTAATTGCAATACCCATCAATCACAGCCACTACCCATCTTTTGCAATACCCAATTGACTATATTTGGATTAAATGATAAACTACATAATTGAAATTTACAAAAATGGGTATGGCAAGCAATTCGTTCATCCTCGAATTTTATGGCTTCATATGAACTTACTTTACAAGCAATATTTTCAGCTCACATATTTAATATCTAAATGAGTCCTAAACTAATACCTCAAGGCTCTCTCCAAAAGATAACCTGCAAAGAAACATTTATCAAGACTTATTAAACAACCCCAAGTAATTAATATCTAAATGTTGCCACACTATTATTATTGACAATCGATTAACATAAGGAACATGTAATCAAAAGAACAAGTTTTTGCAAATGACTCACCAGTGTAGTGATTTCGAGTTCTAGCATCCTTGTAGTATGTGTATATTATCGCCCCTCACAATATAAAAGGTCCTAAAAAAACAACCCAAAAAAATAAAAAAAAAGCTGGAAACCGAAGTGAGACTGGAAACCTCAACCTTATAAGGGAAGTCAACTCTTCTTACATAATTGAATCCATAATTGATTGTGTTTATGGTCTGACTTTATTCTTTCCTAATAGGTTAATTTTGGTTTCCTTGTAATATGTACTGATGTGATTTAGCACTACACTACTAAAAAAAGGCTCAAAAGAGACTGAATGCTATCAGTCCCTTTCGGCTTCTTTAGGGACTAAAAACAGTACCTATCATAGTATTAGGGACTGATATATATCCGTGTCTTTTAAAGGGGTCCTCTATTGATAATATGTCACTGATTATAAAAATCAGTGCCTAATTTTGGCAATGGGTCCGACATTCCTAGCACCCAATACATGTACATCAATCCCAAATACATCCGTTCCTAATATAATCAAAAGGCACAGAATGCTCATCAGTCCCTATTGAAATAGAAAAGCATTTTCATTATTTTGATATATTTAAATTTATTTGGTGTGTTTTTATATTATTTGTAGTTTCCGTGCCTTTCAAACATTCATTGGTTTTTTTTTCGTTTTCAAATATTCATTGTTTTTCAAATAAATGAATTACATTCCTAATGGAAATACTTATATTCAACACTTCAGAAAATAATGAGAATACACCATACACAATAATTCCATTAATCTTTTCATAATGAAAATACAAAAAGTGTTGCAAGTGGTGGAACTATGATATTAAAAACCAAAAACTTACTTGGAAAAGAGAAAAATACAGAATTTCATTAAGCTCCACCTAGCTGTTCACCATTAACTGCCATTCAGCTCCTCCTTGCTTGACTTGATTCGCCATTGAGTTTCTCCTTGCTTGACTGGATTTGCCACAATCACTCAACTGAGGTATATATCAATATAAATGAAATACAAACAGCATGCCTAGAAATTACTAATTTGCATATTCTCATTCATTTCAGTGCTTCTGACAAGATCTGGAAGTGAGTTTTCACAGTATAACTCACCCTGGTAAGAACTTTGCAAGAACAGACAATCTTTTAGCACCGGGTCTCCCAACTTGCTTGATTATGCAGTCGTCTTCCTGACATCTAGAAAATGTGACGAATTAAAAAAGGGAAAGGGCAATGATCGCA